ATTTATTTTATAGTGGTATAATCTGAAATATGTGGAATCCTAGTTCTGCTGAATACCAACATTTGTATGATGATAATGAGGCCAGATTTCATCATAGAATATGAGGTTTCCTGTCATATGTTGAGAATTGAAAACCTTTGTGTGGGAACAGCATAATCCTTTTTTTGGAGTTGTCTGTGACCTTTACTGCATTATAATTTATGGCATGGTTGTCAGATGTTTGTACTTCTCCTCTCTGCACTGACAACCACCGTATGAGTTTCCTTTTTTCGTTTTTAATTTCTTAATAGCCAAGCTGTTTAATAGAGTACTTTTTGATGGAAAGCTTAGAAAAATAGTTTTAGTTTTATGTTACCTGATCTTATTAGAGCATTCTTTTAGTCTAATCATAAATAGATTGTTTTGGGATTTTCTGAACTTGTATCTGGCCTAAATGGCTATGGAAACTGATGTTACTCTCCACCGTCTTATTAAAAGGATGACAATATATATAAATTGGTTGTTTTGATACAAGAGGAGTATTCATTTATAGGTGAATTTAAAAATCAATTTATAATCCAGGCCCTAGAATTAAGAGTATTGAAAATATGAAAGGTGCTTGTTAGGAGTTTGGGTGTAGAAATGCCAGACTCTTGTCTCTTGAATTGCATGTCAGAGGCAGAACAGTATCCATAGAGTATCTCATGTGTCTGTGGATCCATGATTACTCTACTTTTTGGAGGAATGTGAAGAATAAAGAGTAAAGAATTCTTTACTGTTCTTTGTGGGATTTATAAGTCCTGTGGTTGTCTTCTTTTCCTCAAAGAAAACTAACACTGGAAATTAAAAAAAAAAAAATCAAATTTGAGAAAACTTTCGGTTGTCTGCTTTATGACTTGCTAAACAATTGATACTTTAATGATGTTGTATATGCTGAGCATTAATCCCCACCTATACTTTAAGCACGTTCAGTGCTTGCAAAACTTCTCAAACATCAGTATTTTTGGTGGTATTCCTTTTGCTGAAATAATAAATTCCTGGGTCTCTTTATATTAGTAGAATTTAGAATTTTGCTTTTCTCCTTTTATTTATTATTTTGGTAAACATGAGAGTATTGAAACAATACTTTTATTAAATTGAATTCAAGTAATATCTAAGGCTACAGTCTGACATACTTTAGGATTTTTTTTTCTATCTAACTGGTTTTGAAGATTAGAATTTTCTGTATATTGAATTTGTAAACAGGACTTGTCTATATTTGTATTATTTGGAATTTTATCTTATTTTTCTACTACTTGCTGACATTTACACAGGTAAGCCATAAGAGTATGTATATACCCTTTTTTGGACTTGTGGTAATAGGATAGTTCTTCAAGCTGCTTCTGTTTGTGAAAATAATTGTATATGCATAAAAATCAATGTATTCTCACCCCTAAATTGACCTGTAATGAAATGTTCCTCCTGTAAAAGCTCTACCTTGAGGAGAATTCATTAAACAACAGCACAGAGAGATTTTTCTCTCTGAAATTGACAATGTAGCTTATTGATGTTGCTATATTATCTGTAGGTTTGTCTTCATTATTGTTTCTTAAATATTGAAACAATGCTTTACGAGTTTATTTACAAGTAAAGTACTCTTTTTAATCATGTAGGAATTGGGACTTCAGGATCTTTTTGGGGGGAGGAGATTGTGGGGAGGTATTATTGAGAATGTCTTAAGGAAAAATGAATGCCACTTAATAAATAAACCCCCTATTAATGGGAGTGAACTGGTCAACCTTTTTTTTTTGGGCAGGGGACTTGGGGTTGAAAACCCTAAAGATGGAGTACCTTTTAAAAGGCACTAGAGGTCCTCAGTTGACTATGAGTATGCGGTACATCCAGCCTTCCTTTTAATGTGTTTATTTGGTAACACATGGTTCAGAATTATTCAGGGTGAGAACTTTGATGTGCTATTTCTGAAAATATACAAAGAGACTACATCTTATCTGATTTATGCCACTGTATTTGAGAAAGATTACTTTATTGATTTTTTACCTTAGGTTTACTTTGCTAGTATGATCAATTTCTGTGTTAATTCAGTGTTTTGATGAAAGTTAGGGATTTTTGTAGCATAGATAGCAAGATTTCTCTGATCAAACACGTCAAAATAAATAGTGTTGCATATTAAAAATACTAGAGTATGAGGGGGGCTTCAGAAATAAAACTGAAGAATGCTGAGGGCTGAGGATTTAATAGGGATCCTGGAATAAAGTATTGAAATGTGGTTTATGTAGTAAAAGTTTTAATGAGATACTAACTTGGATTTTTGGTATCAAATTGATTAAAGGCATACGTATTTTAGCAATGAAACAAAAGGAAACTTTGATGGATTGAGGTGTGTTATTGTTTTTTAAAGTTTGTGTGGTTAGTTTCAGTTTTGCCTTCCAGGCTGTATTGCTTAATAACTAAGGACATCTGTAATTTTTGTATGTTTTCGGGTTTTGAAAATGATCAGTAGAATATAATTTAGGGTATTAAGAATGTAATGTCTGATGCCTAAATTGAATTTAAGTAAAATGGCACGGTATTAAATTAGAAGTTTCTATTCTCTGAATTTGCCTTTTAGAGTATCGTTTACAGTATTTGAGGACTTTCAATTCAGTTCAGTTTGTCAGTGTCATGATGTACTTTAAGTCATGTTGATCATTGTATAGAGGATGTGGATGTGGCTTAATCATAAAACCTAAATTTCTGCCAAAGTTTCTCTGTTTTCTTAGTTCTGTGATCTTGCACAGTTCACGTTTTTGCATCTTTCCTAAATTGTGGAATAGGGATGCAGTATCAAATATATAATTAAAAGGACCAAATGAAACATTTGTGTATACTGGTATATTTAGGAAATTGTTTTTTAAGAATAAAGACATTTTAATAGGCCCTTCTCATTTCTGGGATTGGTAATAAATATATTGTCTAATTTAGAGACTGTAAATTGAACTTTTAAATTAAAAATTAAATATATTACATAATTTAATGCTACACATGTAGTCAGTACATTATATAATACATTAACATATATTAGCATTTTCTTTTCTGAAACTACTGTATGCAAATATTTTCCTATCTCTAGTGAGATTAAGAAACAATATGTATGATTATATAACCCAAATGTGATTATTTTTCTTTATGCCTACTAAAATACAAATAAAATAGATGTGATATTTGAGTTTTAGGAATTGTTAGTGTGGTGACACCTCTTAGAAAAGCAAGTACTCTGGCTCTTTCACATGTTTTTAAAACCTAATCAATGCTGTTTAATTTAAACATCTTTCATATTTCTTCCATTTGATTTCATCTAACACTTTTTTTTAGCACTTACTTTTAAACCACATGTCTTCATAAACAAAGATAGTACTTAACTGTCACCTTAAGGTATAGATGAACTAGTTGGGACATATTGCATGGTACTATCACATTATATTTGAAATATTAGCAGTCTCTGTAACTACGTAATTTCTATTAACTGAGACATACTAGTGAGCTAAGGGTAACTTTAATAGTAGACTTTCTGCTCTATCCAGAAGTTGTGTACTTTTTAGAGCAATATGTTATACAGCAAAATTATGATACAATAAAAGAACTCATGAATACCCAGTTTGAAATATGAGAATGTAATTTGGTAGATATTTGAATAGAAATGCACAGATAAGCATATCAGACACCTACATTTAATGACTTTTATGCAATATTAAAGGAAAAATATGAGTATAGAGATACGGAGAAGCAATTAGGATACCTCAGTGGTAGACAAAAATTATGTTTTTTTATGTCTTAAAGAAAGGTGCTTACAGAATTACAAAGGTCTTATTTGTAGTGAGTAATAGAATTAACATTTGTCACAGGAATTGAGAATTTTAGAGGTAAATTTTATTTTAACATATATATAAAATATAAAAATTAAAATCAATAAAATAGATATACTTTTCTATATGCCCTGACAGAGATATAAGAATGAGGAAACATTTTATTTACTAAATTGAGGATTGTAACATAAAGAATAGGTAGAATTCAAACAGACGTCATAAAGTTGATTGTGGCATCTCCATTCCTGGCATTTATTTTATTTTCTCTTTTCCTTCTAAATCCAAGAGAGGAAATGGAGTAACACTGGAGGATAGTAACTTGATAAAAGTATAGGCGTTAATAGGCAGAAAACCATTTTATCAAATTTGTGTGAAAAAGAGATACTTAAGCATATTTGTGTGTCAAAATAACTTTATTTTTAAAGTGTCAAATTCTCTAACATTAGACTTTTTATGTGTTTGTGAAAGTATTTTAAAATTTCTAAACTTCTTTTTGATACAATATTGAATTTAATATCAGTAACTGAATACGTCATGGAATTTTTAGAAGTGTTTGTTAAAAGTTGACTGGACTTTAGAGGGGAAAAATCCCCAAGGGCACTTTAAAAGTAGCTTGCATTATATATTCTTAAACTCCATTTTATTATTATTCACTGTATGAAATTATAATGATAATATTAGAATAGACATGCTGATAATGCTCATGTTGTAGTCCCATGACTATTCATATTAGTTCACATGTAAATAGACAGTTCAGTCCTGCACTGTTTCTCAGCAGAGCATGAGATAACAAAATTAAGTCATTGTTTTTGTGTGGAGAAATTAACCACTACTACTACCAAACATGGTAACATAATTGGAAGATTTTTTTTAATTGGCAGAAATTCACATTTGAAAAGCAAAATAAAAGTGAAAGTTAAATTAAAATGACAAACTAATAACCAGGATCAAAGATGAATATGACCCTTTTCATTTCAAAGTTCTCATTTTTTTTACTGTCACTAAATGGTTAAGCATTTTATAAATTTAAGTACTTTGTCATGTCATTTTATTGTCTAACTTTGAACTGAAATTCATAAAGTATAATTAACTCATTTTAATAATTCAGATTATAGAAATCATAGGAATTAAGAATTACAGAAATAAGAATTACCAAAGTCAGTGAAGTCTGTTTCTTACCTTGGCTGGTGTGATCATCACAATATAGAGTATTGGGTCATATGAAGTCTATGGATGTTTAGCTGAGGAGTTTTCTGACTCTGTCACCAGGTTTATGGGAACAGTTGCAGTAGGTGGAGGAGAAAAAGTGTGTTAGGGAGGTCTTATGATGTCACATAGGAATTCCGAAGTTTCGATTGGTTAGCCGTAGTCTTAGTCTTAAATCACAACCAAACTTTAGAACTTCTTACTTTAGGTATGGAAAAGTCATTAACACTTTGTGCTTCATCTTTTGTTTTTAATGTAAAACAGTATATGACAGGTAAATGGGAAAAAAAAAAAAGGTAAATTTGAGGTGGTAGAAAGCTTCTGTTACAGATTCATGCATCTTCAGGCTTAGAGATAATTGAACATTTATCTCTAAGCCTGAAGATAATTGAATATAAATGGTGAACATGTTGAAGATATAAAATAGTTACTGTAGGAATTTTAATCATGAGAAAAAATAAACACAGGTATAAGCAAAACAACTTTCATTGAATTCTTGCTGCTGTTGCTTTAATACCACTTCCTCATAATGTTAACTTTTAGCAAGACAAAAATGAAATATTTTTACATAATCAAATTTTATACCTGTTTTCTTCTTATTTTGTACTTGTTCTGTGTATATGGGAGAAGCAGTGTGTATGAGAAAATCAGGCTAATTGCTTTTTGTTTAAAAAATTATTTTTATCTTACAGCTAAAGTAAGAACTAATAAATGTGTTTAATATATTTGTGTTTTCTTCAATTAGCAGTTTAACAATATATTTGTGAATGCTAATTTCCATATTTAAACTGATACATATAACCCCCAAAAATAGCAATATGATACCTTAAGTATTTAAGATTTTTTTTAAAGAATTGCATTAAATTATTACACAAACTTACTAATTTTTTTTATAAGCAGTATTAAGGGCAACTTTATAGTAAAAAAGAAATAATTACAGATTCCCAATCAGTTACATCTCAGTTAATGATGCTTTAGGGTTTGCATGTGTTGAAATTTAAGTTTTGTAATGTTTCTAAAAGGTTGTGCCTCATTTAATCTAGTGGTTGCTTTTCTGAAAATTGCTATACAAATGAGATGTTAGTGGGATGATATTTTGAACTTCCCAAAGCAGTTTATTTTACAATATAGCTGGATAAATAATATTTTTTTTTGTAAAGCTGGGCATCATTCTCCTCTTCTCTGTTCATCTAATTTGTTGTCTTACATGTTAGATTTATTTAAGTCACCACATTTGAAAATATTAATTCTTAAATCCCTTCTTTAATTTTAGAGGAGGTACTTGTAATTTTTATTTTTTTAAATGCTTATGACAGAGTGAACTTAGCCCACTTCACTTTCTTATGGGTAACTAAAATGTGTAGCAGCAGCTGCTTATGTGTCCTTAAATGGAGATGATCTTGGCTTCTTCCAAAGAAAGAGAAAATCTTTCTCTAGAGCAAATCGTTTGTTATTTAAAGAATCAGCTTAAAACTAACTGAAAAATAATATTTTAGCAATGATCTTCTGTGAACATTGCCAAGGGAAAATTTACAACTTAAACCCAAGTTAAGGAAATTGCATGAATAATGTTTGACTCTCATTACTATCAGTTACCAATGATGATTGATAATATAAAACCTAGAAGCCTAAAGAGATTTACAGTAATTTGTCAGAGATAACCAGCTGCTAAAGAAGAGACTGAGGATTCAAATCCAGATCTGTCTATTTATAATTTCTGATCTATTGGCATACTCTGGGAAAAAATTATAATTTGAATATAGCTTTCATTAGAGTAGCATATAGTAACTAAGAAATTTTTAGCATGTAAATAGGTGAATTATTGAGCACTGTTAATAGTTTTAGAAGGTCTGTTTTAAGTTTGTCTACGAGTTACACATTGATCTGAAATTTAGGTGATAGATCATTGTTCTGAGAACTTCTTATTCTAAGAAAATTGAACTAGTAATACTCAGTTGGGTAAACTACCATAGACTGAATAAAATATACCCTAGTTACCACATATGTTTACAAGCTTACTTAAAAAGTGTACATAGGCATATACACACCTTAGAAGGATACTTATAACTGTGTGTGACATAGTTGGAAAATGGATTCAAAATTTTACCTTTTAGTTTTGTACAAGAGTGAGGAGATTTTGTGTTTACCTTTTTCCTTGGGGTTAGCTAGTGATGATGATGATGGCGATGATCCCACATGCAACTCTAGGAAGTATTATATTTTAGTTTTAACTAAACACTGTTTTTATTGCCCAAACAAAGTTGTTTAAAGGAGCATTAGTGAGTTACAGTGTCATCAGTAGAATGTTCTTCAACGATTCCTCAACTAGAGGCTGGAAAATTTTTTTGAGGTGCTTTATCACAGTCTTCATTTGGAGCAACACATAGTTTGAATGTGTTTTTGGTCACGTGACTTTATACAAATAACCTCCCTAAGCTGCCAAAGTTGTAGAATAGTACTTGTGATGGCTTAATGACACAAAATGTACATAGTGATTATCAGAGATCCTGCAACAATGTCCTTTTAGTGTTAGTACTTATTTTCTTTTTTCCTTTAGAAGATGGATTCTTAAAGGTAAACCATCTTTGAACTTGGATGGGAAAATAATTACAAATTTATTTTTAGTACGCTCTAAATGAAACTTAGTATTTCTTCAGTTTTAACTGAATCCTGGGTTCATTTCTTTACTTTTGTTTTTATATAGTTTTGTGGCATTTTAAATGTATTTCTCAAAATCATTAGTTTTTTTTTTTGAGATGGAGTCTCACTGAGTCACCCAGGCTGGAGTCAGTGGTGCAATCTCGGCTCACTGCAACCTCCGCCTCCTGTGTTCAAGAGATTCTCCTGCCTCAGCCACCTGAGTAGCTGGGACTACAGGCATGTGCCACCACCCCAACTAATTTTTGTATTTTTAGTAGAGATGGAGTTTCACCATATTGGCCAGGCTGGTCTCGAACTCCTGACCTCATGATCTGCCTGCCTCAGCCTCCCAAAGTGCTGGGATTACAGGCATGAGCCACTGCACCCTGCTGTATTACTTTTTGTTAAAAATATCATGATATGTGTAATAATCTTTTACATTGATTATTTAAACTCCAATCTATAGTGGTGGTATCTGGAAGGCAAAGAAGCTTCAAGATAAAACATTTTTTTTGGAAATTGTTTTTGACAAGAAGTTAATTTAAATGATGACTAAATTAAAACATTTTAATATTTAAACAGATAAGTAATATAGTAAAATGCAAGTTTTGAATGAATTTTTGTGACATTCACAGTACATCAAAGATAAACTTTTTTTAGGTTAGATCTCCTAGACACCCAGGAGGAGGATTTTACCTAGCTTTTGAGGGTACTTGAGCATTTGATAATTACTGCCTTAAATTTTAAAGCTACATAGGAAAGGACTAGTTTAAAAAACATCTATCTAAGCAAAAATGAGAATGAGAATAGTGGTCTGAGATTGAGAGGATGGAAATTCTTTCCCTAGGGCAATAGGGAAGAAAAAATAAGATTTACTCATCAAATGGGGTCGGGGGCCGTTAGTATAACCCAATGATAAAGTAACCTATAAACCTTAGGGGTCATTTGGGGGAGGTAGGTTCCCTTTTCACTTGATTTGCCAGATATCTGGAGACCCAAACATTTTATTTTTTCATAAATGGCTGAATTCTGGGCAAATTGTCTTTCCTTATCTTGATGAGGGTTGGAGAAGAGCATTGACATCAAGAGAGGCCAGATGGATTTAGCAAAGGACTCATGTGGGTCTAAGTAATTTTTGGAAAAGTTATGAAACATTCTAAGTGATAGAATTGTTATAGCATGCTACGTGGCTTCAAGGAAATTATCGGTATACAAGTAATAAGGAAATAAAAATTTAACTTTTAGAAGTTAACCACTAGTGCAAGATAACACTAGGAGAAAAATGAAATTCCCAGTTGAGAGTCAAATGAGCACATATAATAATAAATGGTATGACTTCTAAGAGAAATATATATTTTATACAGAGGAAGCTGACAGAACCAAAGCCAAAATAACAAAGGGAAACACACCAAAAAACAAAGTGAACAAAAACCAACCCTTAGGTCTCCAGATACTTGCCTCAGAATTCTGTAGAGTCCAGATCATGATGCTGTTAAATTGTTAAGAAGGTTCCAGTTCAATTCAATGATTGTAGTGTTTCCCAAGACACATTAAATTCCTTATTTTTGTGGTTGATATCTCAGCCCTTTGGCACTATCACTGATTTTGATACAGAATTGAAATCGGAGATTCATACTTTTTCTGTCTTCTACCAGACTCCCCATTCACTTAGAAACCAAATGCAGATTGTGAAATATAAATGTTTCTTCTCATAGCCTGACCAACTCTCCTCTGAACTTTCATAGAGATTTATTAACTAGTCTTTCTACCCTCCCTCGTGACCCTTTCCGACCCAGTTTTTACTCTGATATCTGAGTGCACATTTTATTATCATTCACATGCTAAGAACTTTTCATTGTATTGGTTTCTCTTTCAAGATGAAAAACCCACTCTTTACAGAATTAAATAAAACGTTTCCTTATGTTTCCTTTGCCATGTATTTCTACCATAATGATTGACAACTCTGTCATTATGTGTTATTTCTTCTATCCAAAATATTTCCCTTACTCTCTTGTTCTTATGGAACCTCCTTCATTATTCAGAAGTAAATGGGAGAAGCCCTGTTTTGCTTGTTCTTAATATTTAATTATATAAGTAATAAGTGAATATCTCCCATAGTTCAGAAAAGCCAGATAAATCTGAAGTTGGAGGGGGACTTTCTATATTATATAGGTATATTTATTTTCTTTGCCATAAATGTCATGAATAGAGACTAATTTTTTTTTCTAAGCTCTACACACTGCTTATCCCTGATAAAACTCAATAAGATATTTTTACATTTAATGGATATTTAGAATATTATTTTACCATTACAAGTGAATTCTTAAAAAGGATAAGTTGAAAGAAGAGAGAAGAGAGTCCCTCAGAAACTTAAACTGCATTTCTTTGTTCCTAATGATTGTCCCTGAAAAGTCGAGATTTTTCTTGCACTTAATTCTTTATAACTTGTTCACACTTTGACATA